CGCTCAAGAAGAAGATGAAGTCCACTGTAGTAAAATGCGATAAGTAAATTAATTAGATAGATAGAAAGGTATATGTTTAATGGGTTTTTTATATATTAGTCTGGGATGGTGGGTGGATTTTAGAATATTGTGTATATTTAGCATTTATTAATGCTTGTTGATGATAAATTTCATAGAACTTATAAGTATTATGTAATTATGACTTGGTATATATTGTATGTACAGATTTTGTTTGAAGGATGATGTCTACACATATGTCTACACTATATATGGATCATTCAATGTAAACTGATATTTGATTTGTTGGAGCACTGCCTATATCAAGATACTTGATGTGTGAATTATTGTTTTAGTTGTTGTGGATTAAAATAAGATGTTATTAAATAGAGAATTTGTAAATTCTCTATATAATTGGTTACTAATTGCCCGTAAAATTAGATATACTTAAGTCGGTTGTACAATGACGATTGGCTCCGCAAATTTAGGTGTATTAATGACGATTAATCACCAGGGGTTTAATGCTGTCCTTATGACTTTTTTTTGGCATAATACAAACCTTTAGAGGATTTTTGATTAATTTTGTTAGCATGGGTATGCATGTCTTTTGTTACCATGGGTATGGCTTATGTTGCTGTGAGATACAGAAGATATATATATTTTATTTGGCATGAATCGTTTTAAATGTCGCAATTATGTGCCTTGTCTGAATTATTATTTTGAGTGTATGTAATGTATGTGAGTGTATCATCAATGTATTATTTTTGCTTTGTTTACAATCTTTGACTTTATTTCAGATCATGTGTGTATGCTGATGGATGTCTGTGACTTTATTATTAATTTTGTACATAGTATTTGGTGAGAATCGTGTTGTAATATTGTGTATGAGTGTGGATGTCTTTGTCTTATATGCGTGGTTGCTATGATGAATGTTTGACGTTCATGAGGACATGAACAGTTTAAAAGAGGGGGCAGTGTAGTGCATGTGACCCCCCCCTTTTTTAAATGATGTAATAATAGTAATGTTAGGTTACATGGTGTAACTTTTTTTATTTTATCCACAACAGTGTTTAATCATTCTGAGTCAATGACTGTAATATTTTGCTATATGTGTGTGAGCTTGGAGCGGGTTGATTTTTCTATCAAATAGGGTCAATGACTGTAATATGTTATCATGCATTGTGGTGATTTGGAGCGGGTTGATGAAGTTTGTTTATTCACAGTTTTATTTTGTTTTATATGAATGTTCTATTCGCAGAGTTGTACCTAAGTCACTTAATTGTAAATGTATATACTTGTGAAACAAGGGTAGATTGATATATTTTGATAACATAAACATGACTGAGATAATTCGAACTGAGTTAGAGTTTGGTAAAAGATTAATAAAGTATGTCATTTGTAAATCAGCACTTAAGTATACATCCTAAGACTATAACTGTGTCAAATAGTAAGTAATTGTTGTTTGTTTAGTGTTATTTAGTTGATATAATACCTGTGAAATAGTCTAAATTTCTGTTGTCACATTGTTTGACAGTTTCGCTCTTCATTACGATGTACTTCCGGTTTAGAAACTTGTTAAAGTAATTGATAAATTTATCCTTGCATTTGTAATATAACCGATAAATATATCGAGTTTGAATGGCGGTATCTTATAAATGACTGTATTTTTAGATAGACTGAATATTGTTTTAAGTTTAATTTGTTTTGTTTTAATTATTTATTGTGAAATATATTTTTATTTAATTGATAAATATGTAAAAATTCATTATTTCATACTTGTATAGAATATTTGGTGACACTTGTTCACGTGAAAGATCGTGATGTTTTACAATTGACCAATCAGATTGTTCGATATAATTGATCATTAATTGATAATCCAATGAAATTTCATAATTAATAATTCTGTTAATATCCGTTATTTTCCAGCATTTTCCGTTATTTTCTGTCATAGAGTCATATAAAAGTTAGACGCTGAGAATTTTTAGTCACTCTTCTGCTTATTTTGATTTGGTAGGTCCGTTTTACGGAACTCTCAGATTTTTTTTTAGGATTTTATTTTAACTTTTATTTTGTCTATCTTTTATTTTTATTTATTTATTTATTTTATTTAGGAATTTATTTTATTTTTGATTTATTTAGTTAGGATAGAATTTAACCGACTAGGACATTAAATAGTAAAATACTATTGTCCGCTATCGGTTGTTTTAAAGACTCAACAGTCTATGACTGAGTAGTCTTCTTTAGTAATTAATTTATCTAGGATTATTTTATTTTACATTTTTACTCTATTTTATTTCATTTTTATTTTAATGCAAACTATGTAACTAAAGTTATACGTTTGCTATCTTTCACTTTTATGATGACTAAAGTTGATTAGTTCAACGAAAGTCAATTATTTATTTTATTTACATACAGCAATTTAATTATTCTAGATACGTAAATTTTTCTTTAATTATTTTTATAATAGAAATTATTTTATTAGAGTAGAGTACTTGGGAATTTTTAAACGTTGCTTCTCGATAAACTTACTTATGATTATTAGAGTTATCTTTCTTTGCCCTTAGTGTTTACAAGCTAACCTGTTAAATACAGTAATGCTTGTTGTTAGGTTTAACAAGTCAAAGTTATAAATAACCACGGCTTGTGTCCTTATTTAATAAAGTATTTTAGGAGTTTAACAAGCTAACCTGTTAAATACAGTAAAGCTTGGTGTTAAGTTTTACAAGTCAAAGTTATAAATAACTACGACTTGTTGTCACATATTTTTATACGCATAGGAATAGATACGTTAGATTTTTGGGGTGGTTTTTCAGTCTGTTTTATGGTACGATTCTAATTATTTATTTTAACTAAACATTTATTATAATTAGTTTGGTATGAATGTGGTGTGAATGTCGTCGTTTAAATAAATTGTTTGTTGATAATGCACTTAATAAATTTAATTGTTTAATGTTTATAATCTTATGTCTTCTTTGCGAATGGTACATTTATTAAAGGAGTTGAGCGAATTATTAATTCTATGAAAACAATTTCTAGCAGAACCGCTAGCGTTACAATAGACTTTGTGAAAAAGACACTTCCTTGATTGTACAAACCTTTTTTAACAAGTTAGTGGGCTCTTAGAAATTACAAAAAGGGAAGGAATTGGTCTGTCATTCAGAATGCCAACTTACAATGATCAGATGGAACATGCTACGGCCTATTTTGCCTCTGAATATCAATGATAGTATGGATGATTTTTCTATCTAAGTTAGGTAGGTTTTAATTATCTATTCTGATAAACGCTTTTACATTTTTACCCCAAAAACTCATTAGAATGCATTTTGTCAAAGCAAGGAAAATGGCTGTTTGTTAACATTATGCATAGCAATAGCAAGGGAAATATCTGCTTTTGCATACAGACAGGGCTATAGACAATACTTATAGCATTGCTGGACGCCCAAGACAATCAATTTTGTTTGGCAGGCAGGTTATTTGATAAGTGGACCAGTGGACAAGTGCTTTTCCATTTAATAGAAAATCATATAATCAAAATAATGTTGTTTGTCTTATGGCTGTTAAGATATAATGAATCACAGCAGAGCACCTGTTTTTGCTGCTGTTGACCACTACATTAAATACTCTGTCAGAACTCCTCTAGAATTTATCATTTCATGTGTTGTCCAAAAAGTTGAGGGTTTTAGACTTTTTAATTGTCAAAACATAAATTTCATGCCGTGAATACAGACGTGTTTCTGGTATTAAAATTGGAACTGTTGACTGGCGATTACACATACATGTAGTCATGAAGTCAATTGCTCAATTGGCATACAGTAGTGTTTTTATAATGAAATACTCTATATTTTATCTTTGTTTTCATTTATATAAATACACAAGTTAAAAAAATAAGGAATACCTTATTTAAAAGATTTTTGAAGAGAATAGAATGAAACATTGACTTTTTTCCCTACTTAAATAATGAACCATGACCATGTGTGCATATTATGTAAGTACCAGTTATGAAATCCCTTTGATTTTTAGGTTGACAATGTGCATTTTATTCTAATGCTAGTGATTTTGGGGATAGGTTGGTCCCTGTATATATAGTGTTTCAGTGGAGAAATAGTTGAAGGTAAGTGATAATGTTTTAATTTTGTGTTATTTATGAAAAACTGGGACAAGGAATTTTTTTGGTAGGACAAGTAATTTTACAATGGTAACCAGTCCGAGGGCAAGTTCTGCAAAATTCTATTTATCTACCCCTGATGCATCCTTTGTTAAAATTATTAGTGTTGCAAAATCAGACCAAATTTTATTTTACTATCGATTTTCAAATTGAGTCGGTAGCATACAATCGTTTATATGATCAATAATTTGAACTTTAATTTAAAGGTTAAATTTAGTAAAGTTAACCAAAAAATATTCAGATATCCTCAGAAATGAAAATGATATTTCAAATCAGTGAGACCAACTTCCATTTATGCTTAGTGGAAAAATTTCTGTGTGCCAATCGCAAGAAAAATTGAGGTATGTCCTTTGATATTGCAGAAATATAAACCATTTTGTTCAAAAAATATAATTTGCGACTATCGATTTTAAAATTTTCTACCGATTGTCGCTGATGTGCTGCCATCAGCGACAATTTTTCGATAGTCAGTGACTATCACAACAACACTAAAAATTATGCACCTTTCCAACTTTGTTTATGGAAATGCAGCTAAGACTCAAAATCATGTGACATCACAGTCTAGACGTCCCAAATGTTCATGAAGTTTGAAGAGGTAGATCTTAGTTAACAGTGAATATCCAGTAATATACATAACCTCGCCCCAACAGTCGCACCGTCAATATATTACAACCTGTGGTTCAGGTAAGTTAGAAACATGAAATATAAATGACTTAGTCTGTTAAATATACCCCCACCCTTTCTTTTGCCATCAGATTACTTAAATAATATGAACCTCGAGGATCCCCTAGATCTTGTCAGCTGCTTTTACCCCGCATTACATCTGGTTGCACCTCACCTTGAATGTTCTTTTTTTCCCTTGTCTTGCATCAGACATAACTCTAAAATTGAAATACATCATATAAACATATCCAGCGGAAAATGCAACCATGCCAAATATGAGAGGGTAAGATCTATATCGAGTGTCTTTCACCCATCCCTTTCTTTGGAGGTAACGATTCAACTTCAAGTTATTTCTTGTAATAAATCCCAATTTTTGTTCCTTTAAAGGATCAAAATCGTTGTTCATCTTAACACTTCAGCTGTGTATGCTCATACTGAATGCAAAGAGTGAAGACTCCAGTTAATGTAACCTTTTTCCTTCAAGAAGAAAAAAAGTTAAACAGGATGTGTAATTATCCATGAAAAAGTACAAAATGAGTATGGGCTGATTCCGGGATTTTATTATAAGTTTTAAGTCCCTTTGTTCCATATGATTACTTTAACCATAATTATTTTAATGTATTCTAGTCATGAAAAGAAAAATGCAAGCACTGAAAATAACTTTTACACTGCAAATTACAATAAACTACGGAAAGTTATTTTGCTCTAACTTGGTTTTAAATTTAGTGACGAAAGATGGACTTCCGAAAAGATTTTGAAAGCTGGAACACCATGACTGTAGTGACGCATTCAAAATAAACAAAATTCTAGAGAATGAGACAACTCAGAGGCAGAACGCTTCGGCTCCTAAAGATAGGATGTTTCTGTTTCATGTTTATGATTATTATTTGGTACATCGCTATGACGTTAAAGAAAAGAGTTACCCCTATGTATGCTTCTGGTGTTGTTGATACAACAGTAGGCCACATTCGGTATGACTTTTCCACGGGTATGTTTTCATTAATAGAAAATGGTGAAACTTACATTCAGGGTCTTTTATCAGAATCATTACGATATACAGCTGCCTTGGAGTGTAGGCCAGACCGGAACAACCCGAATTACCTCTGTCTGAGATGGCACCGGTACACAGATCTAGAGGTAATATCACTTCAGTGTTACCAATAAACCATTGTTTTTAGATCAAGGAATTTTAAAGAAACATATTCTGAAGTAATAACGTAGTAATCTGAAGCGTTTCACTTGCTTTTGCATTGTGTTGTCAAACTCAAAGCATATTTCTTGTCTATTTGATAGGTCAGAAAATTAAAAGGAAGTGATCAATGTCACGAAATTTTTTGGAAGCCTTCCAGTCGAGACTTTCTGCCTCAAGACTGCATTTCTTTACGAGGTGCCATATGGTATGGGGGAGGTGAAATGTATGACCAGAAGTGGCCATTGAGAGATGTGTCCATTCCTCTACAGCCATACCTTTCAAATGATCTCATGTATAAAACAAAATACAATAAGCCAACAGGAAACATTTTTGGAAATGTGATAGAGAGATTTTGGCTCAGCACTAAAGGTGTGGGCATTGTGGTTGACAGTTCTGTCCCTTTGTTTGTTAGTATGAACACCAGTAATAGTAATCTACTGTGCTTCACAACTAACTCGGATCATCCTCGGTATCCAACAGGACAAAGCCATTTACTAAAATACACCATTTGTAAGAAGAAAAATATCAAGGAGGTTTATGAATTAATGCAAATGAGACATTTTGAGTCCCCGAAAGATAAGCCAAGTCTGGATTTAATGCAGTTCCCAGTGTTGTCCACTGTACCAAGATTTGAAAACAATATGACACAAGGGGTTTTGCTAAAGTTTGTAAAGAAATTTAAAGATGATCTGGAAAAAGCTTTGTCTATCAAGAAACTATTTTTTGAATTTGATGGTCTGTTTTCCTCAAAATTTGGTAACTTTGATATTGATTCTGGTTTATTTCCTAATGCACATCAAGTCTGCAGCACAATGAGAGAATATGGATACCAAATTATTGTGTCTATGACTCCTTTGATAAGTAAAGATTCCAAAAATTTTGACACAAAATCTGAGTTTTTAGTACAAAATTCAAACTCTGAGCAACTAGCACTTGTGAAGTGGTATTATGGTATGGTGGGCTTAGTTGATGTGACAAACCCAGAAGCTGCTAGATGGTTTCATTCAAAATTATCAACAATGATGAAGGATTATGGAATAGATGGATTAAAGTTATATGCTTGTGAAAGTAACTATTTACCCCCAAACCACCTAAGTCATGGATCATTAGCAAATCCTGGGTCTTACATTACAAACTTACTTTCATTAGTTAGCAATTTAGGACAAAATAAACAACTTTTACAAACAACCTGTGCCTACAAGTCTCAAAAACATTCCATGTATGTACAACTAGGAAGGAAGGAATCCAAGTGGGGAGCTGACAATGGTCTTCAAAGTGTGATTCCTGCTGTTTTGACACTAGGGATTCTGGGATACCCATTTGTGATCCCTGATGTAGTTGGAGGAAGTGGTACACATGGTAACACAACTTCTCCTCCAAATCGAGAACTTTACATCAGGTGGTTACAAATGGCTACTTTTATGCCAGTTCTTAAATTTTCATATGTTCCTTGGGATTATGATGATAAAGTAGTAGACATAGCTTTTAAACTGATGAAACGAAGACAAGAAATAATGAGACTGCTTATAAATGCTGCAAAGGAGGCTGAAACAAATGGTAAGATATGCTCTGCTCAAATATTAAAAATTTTGTATATTTTTTTGTCATTGGTGCAAATTAAAATCTTCTCAGGTATGTCTTTTATTTGTCATTAAAATTGACGTAGTATGTTGGAATTCAACCTTTGCATTGAAGTATACATCTGAGTAATATTTGAGAATGGAGATAAAAGGTAATAGAAGTTTATGTATTAATCCATGATGCTTTTCTGTTGTGCATTTAAACTTGCTTTTCCATAAAATGAACCAATCTTTTTGAAAAGGATCAAAAGCACTGCTCTGTCAAATTAATTTGCAGCAATAGTGTTTCTGAAAAAAATTCAATGCATGTACATTTATCGGGTAATTGTAGGGATGGGTATCACCCAAAATTTTGTTTTGCAATATATACTGATTTTTTCCAAATTATCAAGATAATATCATATTTTTTAACACAGTATTATTGCTAAGACTTTAAATAAAACTCCATGTTGTACTTCTTACAAATATATGGTGTAAAAACATAACTTCACTTTTCTTCATATTATTTATATATTAATAAAACACATTTGGATGTTAGGATGTCGTTGTTTTACTGTTTTACAACATTTTTTTCTTTACTCTTCTAGTAATTGTAATGCAAAAGTTTGAACTAGAAAAAATAATTATTTCTAGTATTTATAATTATGTACTAAATACCGGTATTTTAGTCTCTGTAGCACAATACATATTGGGCAATAAAAAATCACGATATACATGTACCAGTATACCAATAAAATTGCAGATCCCTAATGTATTTGCTATGAAATGAGTAATTAGGGAATATTTTTAATTTCAAGTAAGAAACATGTCTATATGAAACACTGCCGGAGGGCTTTAAAATATATTTTCTTCATTTTAGGCTCCCCGATTATTAGACCATTGTGGTGGACAGACCCCCTGGATCCTTATGCTCTGACAATTAATTCTGAATTTATGTTGGGCAATGACCTACTTGTGGCCCCAGTTGTTAACCCAGGGGTGACAAAGATAGATATTTATTTACCTGAAGGTTACTGGAAGGATAACCTAAAGGGTGAAGTGCACCATGGAAAACACTGGTTGAGGGACTATGAGGTCAGCCTAGAACAGATACCGACTTTCAGTAAGCACAAATTCTTAGCGAAATGAAGTCCGACTGTTGTCTTTTAAGCAAAATCATACATGTATCTTACAACTCAGGTATTGGAAGGCTGTGAACAACTTAACCAATAATGTGAAGAATGAATTGTGTTTTGTGTGAAAGTAACGGTTTTAATTTTATCACTCTGTTAGCTTACACAGTATGAACATTTTCAATATTTTGTAAGTTGCCTTGAATTGCATGTTTTGTTTTGTTTTTTTTATCATAATTGCATGTACATGTGTACTTGGACATTTAAAATGGCATTAATTTTCGTTTGTGGAATTTGTATGTGTGTGTTGGGGTGGGGGGTAAGAAATGAAATGTTATTTTGAATATTACAAAAAATTATCAAGATTTTTTGAGCATTTACTCCCAAGAGTTGTTTTAAATATTTTCTAAGAAGTTTTCATATGCATGTAAAAAATTGTAGGAGGGGGATTAAATTATTATTTTTTGAATAAAAAATAAATTGAGAAGATTACTTGATTTAAATGCAAAGGGCATTTACTTCTAAGAGTTGTTTTAAATATTTTCATAAAAGTTTTCATATACATGTATATATATATATAAAATTGTAGGAGGGGGGATTAAATTATTTATTTTGAATAAAAAATAAATTGACAAGATTTGTAAAAATTTGTAAATACTAGTATTAAAGGTGCATTTGATACATGTATGTTATAATCTATGAATTTCATATCAAAACCATAAGTAATAGACATGTAGATTCATGCATGACTCCAGTAATAGACATGTAGATTCATGCATGACTCCAGTAATAGACATGTAGATTCATGCATGACTCCAGTAATAGACATGTAGATTCATGCATGACTCCAGTAATAGACATGTAGATTCATGCATGACTCCAGTAATAGACATGTAGATTCATGCATGACTCCAGTAATAGACATGTAGATTCATGCATGACTCCAGTAATAGACATGTAGATTCATGCATGACTCCAGTAATAGACATGTAGATTCATGCATGACTCCAGTAATAGACATGTAGATTCATGCATGACTCCAGTAATAGACATGTAGATTCATGCATGACTCCAGTTAATAAACATAATTCATGTTGTCTACCTGAATCTCAGGTAGGCTCATTATGCACAGGCTGTGGTGGATTTGAGTGAACCAATACAAGTTTTATTAGTTTTTGTGTGAACAAAACTGATTGGTTTTTGCAGTGTGATGTAATATGTTCTGGAAAGTTTGGGGCTCACCAAAGAAATATACTACAATATGTATTATAATGCATCTAGTATATCATAATTATTTTCAATTTCTGGAATAAATTTTATAGGCACCTAATGAAGATATATATATGTATTGAGTATGTTTGAAAGTTGATGTTGAATTTTTTTTTTCATCTTGGAGTTGGAAGTGGGATTGTTTCTCATCTTGTCTGCATATAAACATCCATCTACTCACTCATATAGAATTTCCTTAATACATACATGATTTTCTAAAAAAATAAATTTAATAATTAGAATGCTCACAGTTTCAGCATACGTTGCATGGTAAAATATGACAGGAATGACCTATTTTAAAACTTGACAATTTTATAAATGAATAAAAGTCATTTATCCCAATTAGAGTTATCTCTCAGTGGACATTTAGTAGTGTTTGACCATAACTTTTGAATAACCCGTTTGATAATTTATAAATGGCATGAAAACTGTACAATTATGATCAGACTGAAGTCCATGCCATGTGCTTACGTTAATTAGGAATATGATACAGACAAAGCCGTAGTATTTCCCAACCATCTCTAGTTTTAAATACATATAAATATATTTTATGATTGATACACAGACATTTGTAGAATATACTGATTTATAATCAAGCAGATACAGTAAGAATGATGCATGATACACCGATCATTGGTAATGGTGAAGTTATAGACAGATTATAGACAGTTTCTAAGGTAGATTATAGATCATTTCTTGATATGTTTCTGAAAGTATTAAACTTTGATTATTAGAGGGAACTGAGATCTAAATGATATACATTATATACATGTATAAGAAATGTTTTTTCCTCAAACATTTGGGTCCATAAAACACTACTGGGAGAGGTGGCTCAAACGTTTAAAAAAAAATACATGTACGTCATGTAATTATTGTAACTAAATGAAATCACAAACTTGACCAAAATGGCTAATTAAGTGCCAACACGCTATCCAGTTCTTTTTTAACATAGTGCATCCCTTTTTTAACAAGAAAAAATCTTCAAATACAATGATAGAGAAAAATTGTGTTTTGTTTACTCAAATTTGAAAATTACATGCAAATAAAGCTTGCAATTACTGTTTATTTGGTCGAATATAATGTTTAGAATATTTGAATCAATTACAAATTTTGTAATACAATGCAGATAACAAATTACTTCCATTTTATATTAAATGGTAGAACAGTCTAACTACACAAAAGAACTCTGAAATTAGACTGCAGTGTAGAAAGGGTCCTTAAAGAAATTGCTGTGTTTTCTTTGCATTTGCCCTGTTTTAAATCCACTTACATGTAGAGGACATACGGGCAAAATGAAAATGGAAGGAAAAATTTCCCTGTATACTGTATTAACAGTCTAATTACAGTATTACACAGTAAGATTTAATATTGTCCAGAAAAAAAGTCATTAGAGACAGAGTTGAAGCTGCCTCAAATGCTGCACTGATTGTCCCAATTTTTGCTTTATAGACCATTTCACGGTAACTGTGGTACTGCTCTTTTGCAGGGCAAAAAAATATAGTTTGGTGAAATATGATGTAAAAGTAATTGTTAAATATACGTCATTTAATTATCTCTCAACAAAAACTTTGCCAAACGTTATTATTTTGTCCTGCAAAAGAATAGTACCGCAGTTACCATAAAGGGGCTAATTGGGTCTGTGTTTGCTGCACACATAATTTTAGCTTCCGGATGCTAATCCATCAATATTCACTCCCAACCATTCAAAATTCTGATTTATTGATATTTGATGTTAACTTTATTCTGAACTATATAATTAGCTATGTAAAAATGTTGTCTTTGTCTGGTGAAGAGTTCACTGATTTATTCTCCTTCATCACACCCAAGTCATTATTTCTAGCAACTCAGCAAATTTGCCTTTTTCTCTGTTAGCTGCATGAAGTTAGACTATGTCCCTGCATTGAATATAGATTCCATATAAAAGATTGTTAGACAGTATGCCTTTTTATAAATTATGGGCCTATAAATTAATACATGAACAGGTATTCAAATTTTTTGTCATCTGCATCAATGTTTTCACAGGTATAAATCCCCACTGTATTTGAAAAAATATTAATTTGAATTTGATGCATACATGATTGTTTTATAATAGAATTTTGTTTACCGGTACTGTATGTAAACTGGAGGTGTTTTGAAGCAATATGACTTTGTGTTAGAGTTTAATATCCTTTCTATATTCATAAGAAATTTATGACAATTATATACAAGATAAGCAAAGATATTTAAAGGTTAAGTGAGTAATTTATGTGTGATTAAGTCATTCGTGGATAATATTTTTTGTAATTATTAAACTTTATTTGCTATTTCCAGTTTATTGTATATGGGTTTTTCATGGGTTTGATTGATTTAATACACATAAATTATTTTCCTCATTTACCACATATTTATAGTATATTATACAATTCTTTATACAAACATTTTTATTTTTTTTTTTCACTTTGATGTTAAGTTCTGTGTATTCTCAGTGATATTTTTAATTTTTTTTTCACTGATTCCATGCAATGACATATCCCATGTGAAAGGTAAAATGGTAATAAGTACTAGTTTTTATAATTAAGGAAATAAATGATATTGGGAAATTTCAGTGATTTGTACTATGTAGAAGATTAAAGTTGACAGAGTGTGTGTCAAATCCTGTTTATATTGCATGTCAGAACTGTAAAAATTGACAGCTTACATGCATTTTCTATCAAGAAAAGTGAACAATTTCTTTTTTTTCCAAATGATGTCATGAAGACTTCATGTTTAATTATTAAATGTCAATTAAAGTCAACACTTTATGTATGTCAAGGACACAACCTATGACATTACAGTATGTACTATGAAAGCTTATATCTTTCATAATGAGAGGTATATATATGAAAGAACAATTCTCTATATGGATACTGTACACCAAAAAATAATTAGTAATTTTTTTTACTTAATTAACAAATTACACAAATGTAACTGAATGTAGATTTTGCTGGTTGTAAATGTAAAGTGCAGGAGTAATCTTGATGTTTCAGTGGTACATGTACATGAAAATTCTTGCAATTCTGAATATATGTCTTTGAAAGTGTGTATGAAGAGTGTAATCATATTTATACCCAATTTTCTCAAGTAACTTGTTCATTTGTTTGAAAAATCAAAACTGTATGATATCTGATTTGTTTTATGATTTACTGCTCAACAAGTTATGTAGATGTGATTTTATTTGTGTTTGTGTAAATAGGCCTTGCATTGTCCATATAATTATTAGTGTGATCATTAAATGATGATTTAAACCTTGTAAGTCAGGTGCCAGAGAGATTAAATATGTCTATGAAAGGAAATGATGAATGTTTCAAACACACTGTCACAGATTTAGCATTTATGATAAATCACAAACATAATATTTAATCTGGATTTTGAATTCCAATTCATCATTTTATAATACAACTATGCTTTCTTTTCCTGTACTCAAAATATTAAATTATTTGTTTTTGCTATAATTTTACTTTGTTGATGTGTTTTTTATTTTATTGATTTATTTTTAAATATGATATGCTATACAAGCATGTTGGGGGTAATTTTATATGCCCCAAGGTCCTTTATAAAAATCTGAATCTGAAAAATCCTAGGTCAGAGAGTTTGACAATAAACAATTTTGCATCAAAATGCCACTCCTCCTATAAAGTTTTGGTCTTAAAATAGAACATTGTTATGTAAATTAAAGGGGAAAAAAATATGTATTAAAAAATGAAAAATATTTTGTTTCCTTGGATACATACCCTTGGGCCAATTTCAATCAAACTTGCCACAAAGTATCCTTTCATAAAGGAGATTCAATCTTATAAACTGAAGAGCCATGCCCTCTTTTAAGTGGAGATGATGAAAAATCT